GGAAAATGTCTAGATCCCCATTCCCTACCCCTGTCACCCCAGCTCAGCCCTGAGCTCCTGCAAAGCAGGATCTCCATGGTCTTCCCTCAGCCTCAGCTGGAACCCAAGGAGGCCCCTCAGATCTTCTGGCCTAAGTCCTGCAGCATCTGAAGATTTCAATGTTCAGTAGCTTCTTGTCAGGTAGGAAGCACCAGGCAGGGGTCGGGACATAGATCCAAGCCCTGACCTTGCCACCCACTTGCTTGTGATCTCAGGCAAGTCCATTCTGCTCTCTGGGCCTCACTGTTCTCATCTGTAAAATGACGGGGCTGGAGAAGACAGTCTGGGGGGAGTTCCACGGATGGGGCCTGTCCTTACCTTGCTGAGCCCAGGGATATCCTGCAGATGACTGACCTCTACCTTCTAACCCTGGGACGAGAAAGTCCTTATATTCAAGAACCTGATTAGCTGTTTGGGTAATTAAGGGTTTAATAAGGCCCAGATAATTATCTAGAGGCCCAAAGAACAGGAGCTCCGATGCTCACGTGATGTTTCAGTCTGTTCCAATGTAAATAACACAGAGGAGGAGGGTAGCTGGGGAGCCTGGGTGGCTGCACGGGGTAGGCGCTGGGGAGGGGATGATGCGGTGGCCTTAGCAGGCATAGGGCTCACACCGCCCCCTCTCCTAGGCTCAGCACCTCCCATGAGGCTGGACACATAGCTGGCACTCATCGGTTTCTTCCACAAACATTTATTGAGAACCTACTGTGTGCCAGGCCTGTGTAGGGTGCTAGGAGTATTGCATTGAGCTAGGCTGTTGGGAGCCTCCAGTGGGGGAGATGGGCATGCCACAAATCAACAATCACAGAGCCAGGTCATTTCTGGGGAGGTGAGGTGGGTGGAAACTGCTGAGCTGGAGGGATGGGTTAAGAAGGGAAGACAGTGGTTGACATTAGAGCTGAAGACTCCTGGGGCAAAGGGTGTTGGAGCTGAGAGGTGAGCAGAGCCAGCTCTGCAAGGCAGTTGGAAAGGTGTTTCAGGCCAGTGCCAGCAAGTGCAAAAGCCCAGCAGACATTGCTGGACCATCTGAGACACACAGAGGGGGCCAGGAGCTAGTGGCCCCATGGGGGATCATCAGAGGAACCCTCCTGGAGGAAATGCCAGGAGCTAGTAAATACCAGGTGAGCTTCTCTCAAGGTCTGAACCTAGAGAACAATGAAGGCAGGGTGATCCCAGGGCCACACCCAAGCTGGCCATAAAGCAGGGGCTTGGGTGTCTAGCCTCTGGAGTGCCTTTCATGATGCCCTAGGAGGCCTGGCTAGGTGCAACTTGAGAGTGATGGAGAATCCCAGGGGGCTGCTGAAGGACTGAGGTTTTCCTCCTCCAGTCCACAGGGAGCCCACAGCTCTGGAAGATGGGGGCTGCTGAAGGACTGAGGTTTTCCTCCTCCAGTCCACAGGGAGCCCACAGCTCTGGAAGATGGAGGAAGCTACTGTGCCCAATGTGTACCTGGGGCCATTGAGGCCAGACAGGGCAAGAGCCTGCCTCAGGTAAGTGGGAGTGAAGCCAGGCTGTGGGACAGGAGGAGAGAAGGGGAGAGGTTGGCCCAGCCAGGCTCCATCCTGATCTGAGCCCTGAGCTGGAGGAGCCAGCCTACAGATAGCATCATTTTATCCCTGCTGCTCCGCCCCCGACAGACAGAGGGACAGACAAATCTCACCTCCTCCTCCAGAGTGCAAATCTGCCCCAGTGTGCCTCAAGTCACCTGGCCCTCCCTGCCTCCCCCAGGGCCACCCTGGGTACTGTGGAGAGAGCAGGGAGGCAGGAAAGACACGATGGGGGCGGCTGGAGAAACCCCCTTGCCTGGGTCCAGCGATCTGGGCCGGCGTGCCAGCCACCTCACAAGCTGTATGACCTTGAGCTGCTGTTTTATCCCCTCTCTAATGAGGGAGAATAACAACAGGCTTTCTGAGAGGGAAAAGGACATTCATGTTGCCTGTTGCCCTAAGTTCAAAGTAAATTGGTCCTAACCAAGTTCTAATGGCCAGATAGGAGGCAAGTTCCCCCAAAATAAAATTACTCTAAGAAAACAGAGAATCCTTCCCGCAGCCTTGGATCACCACATGGCTTCAGGGTTCCCAGGCGAAGACTGGTCCTGCAAGCTTGTGGCTGGAACTGCTGCAAGCACCTCTGACCCAGCTATGGTTCTGCTGCTAATAATAGCAGTAAGAGGGCCCATTTACTTTGCCCATGCCCCGAGTACGGCATCGAGCTAAGTGTTTGATCTGCACTAGAGTATTTAAACCTCAGGACTGCCATATGAGATGGGCACTTTGACAATCTTCTCCATTTTACAGGTAGAGAAACTGAGGCTGAAGGTCGAGTCACTTGCTCAAGATCATACAGCAAGAGATGGTACCACCAGGAGCTGAATCTGGATCTCGGGGACTCCAGATCCCAGGCCAGGACTTGTTAAAGCATACCCAAGAGGGCTCGCGCCTGCCCACCTGACCTCCCTACCCCACACCCTGGCATTGCCCCACCTGGTCCCCTACAACATCTACCCCACCACTGCTGCAAATTCGGCCATTCTCTGGGACCCACTGTGGCTGCTTCCCCCAGGGAGCCCTCCTGTCCCCCTTGTCCCTCTGCCTCTCTGACCCTGAAGATTTGGGTCCTAAAGCTCAGGGCCATCTTTACCCTTCCCTGCAGATGCTTTGGGGACCCAGCAAAGGTGATACCCACACCTGTCTGCGGGGATTGGTCTCCACATGGCTTCCTGGGGCCACGTGTGAGCTACTCACTAACCACACATTTATTTATGTGCACTTGCCATGTGCTGGGCTGTGTGAGGGAAACCCCAGAAGCCAGCAACCAGGGTCTGAAATTAAAGGACATCAGATTCACCAGGGCAGAGGGGTTTGGGTGTGGCCAGGGGAGGCAGCATCTGAGCTGGTGGACAGACGCAAACCTGGTTCAGGTTCAGGTGTCCTGGGGAGAAAGAGCAAGGGCAAAGTCTTAGAGAGGAAGTGTGCAAGGTGTGTGTGGCCAGGTAGGGGTGGGTATCTGTGAAGGAGCCAGAGGTGTGAGGAGGCGGGCCTTGTGACTGCCCCTCTGCTCTGAATGCATCCTCCCCTCTCATCCTATGATAAATGAGGAAATTCCTATCAGCATTTCCCCTTCAGGGTGAGTGGGATGCTAACCCTTCTCAGCTGCAGGCTCCAGAGGCGCTTCCTGCGGGGTTTCCTGTAGGGTCAAGGTTAGTCATACGGCTGTGAGAACAACCAGTGAAGCTTGTCCCAACCACAGCCTGGGCATGTGACCCCTCTGCCACCCTGCAGCTTCCACCTGGGACAGGCTATCCACGGCCCTTAAACAAACCAGAGACCTCTCCTCACCTCTTAACCCCTCGGGCCCCTCCACTCTGACAGCCTCTCCCCTTGCCAGTGTGTGGACCCCTCTGGAAGTACTCCATGTGGTCTGCATGCAGCCGCCTGTGGTCTAGAGAGCAGCCTGTTGCTAGCTATGACTCCCACCTGTCCCCGGTGCCTGCCCCACTCCTCTTGAAAGAACATATGCCCATCATGGAGACAGACAAGGACTGAACTGGTTGGAAAAGCTAATCAGATGAATGAGTGGATGTGTGGATGAACGGATGGATAGATGGATGGATGGTTGGATGGATGGATAGATGGATGGAAGGCAGGGAGAGGGAAAGGAAGGAAGACTGGTTGGTTCCCTGGACTGACCACTAAATAGAAGGACCCTGTATCCTGAGCCCAGTCTTTTCCTAAGTCACTAGCTTTCTCTCCTGGCTGGGTCTGTATCTTAAAATGTTTTTCTTTCTCATATTCCACATCGCCCAGCCTTGGGTTCAGCCTATATTAAGTTCCAATAAAAGTAGGATTAATGAATGAATTGACTAAGCAACCAAATGAAATCAGAGCCGTGCTGTCCTGAGCACAGTCGACGGGTTGAATGTTATGGCCAGGCCCTCCCCTTCATGCCATTTGTACCCCCTCCCCACCGCCCAGATTCTGGGCTTGCTACAGGCCCCTCAGCCTGTCACACTGAGACTTTGAGGTGAATCTGTAACTCTTAGAAGGAGAGAGGCTAGTGACACACCATATCAAAGGCCTTGCATGTGGATGGCGGGAATTCAGGCACCTTTTACCCCCAGAGAAACATAAACAGAATGCTGCGAACCATATATATGGAGGCAGGAAGGCACACTGGCTAAGAGCTTAGAGCTTGGCTCATCAAGGGAAGAAAATCACACAGCTTTGGCTCACGGGAGCTCACGGCCCTCTGTCTTCCCTAGGCCATCTTGCCATGTGCGTGACCCGCTGGGTTCAAAGAGCTTTCAGAGGCAAAGGACTAAGACACAATCCTGAGGCCACAGGCCCAGAAGGCAGGTCCCCTCCTTCTAACAGACACTTGCCTGTGGTCCCAGGAAGCCCGAGACACACTGCCTGAGAAGGCAAAGCACTCCCTGTCACCTGAGGCTTGTGACCCAAGGGCACACCTCAGATGGGGTGGGGGTGAGTGGAAGAAGGAACTGGAAATCTTAGTCCTGGAGCCCAGGAAGAGGGCACGGTCTTTGGCATCTGCTGCCATCCGCTCTGAGATTCAGCACATTTCTCTCCTCGTAGGCCTCAATCCCCAAATCTGCCAAATGGAACCCCACCAGCCTGCCTGCCTGCCTTGTAAAGTTCCTCTGAGGTCCTAGGACTGTAGAGGGGAAACACCACCAGCCGAGGACACAGTGTGTAAAGTGCCACCGTGGTAACTTCTAGCCGTCATGCTGCTCACCAGGGTCCCCTTTCAAACTCTGAACTTCCCTGGTCAAGGAAGTGAGGGAGTCAACAGATACAGTCAACAGAGACATGGTCACATCCTCATCTTCTTCCAGGTGGCTTTGGTGGCTCCAGGGACAAACAGGATCCAAGAACTGGATGTAAGCAACTAGCCTCAGGTTTGCACAGAGTTCACCAGGCCTGGCTGGAAGTTGCAGCCCAAGAGAAAATGTTTAATGGGAGAGGGGACACGTTGGTACAGCCTGGAAGAGGGGTATGCTGCTCACATGGAGGGGGAAGGAGACGGGAGGGACAGAGGGAGAGGAGGGGAAAGGAGGGAGGGGAGCTCAGTCACGCAGAGAAGATTAAACAGCCTGGCTGGATCTTCCAGCTTGCTGCTGATGGTAAGTGTGACTTTGCCTCAGTTTCCCAAGTGGCTTGAGGCAAGAGAGTCCCTGAAGCAGGGAGCTGGCCCACTCCTAGGTCTCCTGGTGGTCCCACCTCAGCGCTGGTATAAGAGTCCACTGGATATCACGACATAGCCCTGAAGGGTAAGGAACACCATGGGCCAGGTCAGAGGCCACACGAGGACTGATAGGACCCCAGCAGCCCCATCAGCCTAGCTTTGAGCTCAGGCTCTGCCACTCTTGCTGGCTGTGTCCTGAGGACAGTTCTTTGCTTCTCTGGGCCTCAGTTTCCTGCTGTCACTTGAGAGTGTTAACAGCATCCACCCTGCAAACTTACAATGAGGATGCAGCCAGAGCACGTGGGCAGAGCCCCTGCATGGGGCTGGGGATTGATGTGCGCTTGTGGGCATGGTTGGGACTAGCGCTGTATTAATTAGGACAGGGCGTCCAAACACAGAGCGTCTTCTCCAGGTCCAAGGCTCCCCAGCAGAGCCAGGAACCTCCCATATATCCTCTGCCGTCTACACTGCACTGCAGAAATTTGCTCAGAGCCTGCTGGTCATTCCTTCATTCACTTATTCATTCAACAGATCTTCACAGAGCCTCTGCTCTAATCCACGCCCTGTGCCACATGCTGGGGACAAAGCAGACCCAGGCCCTGCCCATGCATAGCTCATACATGCCCCAATACAGTAGCCATTATTAAACTAAAGCCAATTAGAATTAAATAAAATTTGCAATTCAGTTCCTTGGTTGTGCTAGCCGCATTTCAAGTGCCCAAGAACCATATGTGCCCAGTGGCCCACAGTTGCTACTGTGTTGGACACTGCAGGCTCCCAGAACTCTCCCACATTGTTCTGGGCAGTGCTGATCTAGGGACCCTTGATTTTGGACCCAGTTGACTGGATTTGTGAGTACCAGGGTGAGTCATCCACTGACGGTGCCTGTTTGGGAGAGTCTCGGGGGGAAGTTCCCACTAAGAGCCCATGCTCCAACATGAGCCTATTGTTCCTTTTCTGGAGGGTGGAGGGTGGATCACTCAAATGCCTTGGGACCATAGTTCTTCAGCAACAAAGGTGTCATCCCTGGGAAAACGTTAGTGGGTCCCACTCAGGGAATATGAATAACACACAGATGTTAGGCTGCAGAGACCTGGGCTAAGCTTTCTGTCCTACACGCCTTGTTGAGTGAATAGAAAGAATATTATCATTGTATATCCCAGGTGAAACAGAAAGAAGTTGTAGGGTCTCACCCTAGGCCCACAATTTCTCATCAGGGAAAGTGACTTTAGAAGGGTCGGGAAGCCTTCTTCCCTTGTCCAGCCTGCAGAGGTTTTGTACAAAACTGGAAGTTCCTCTGTCATCTTCCTCAGACACCAAAGGGCACCCCAAGGCCCACCCCAAGGCCCAGATCATGGGATGACTGAACCCCCCGATTATGGCCTGGCCTGATACCTGATGAGGACTAAAGGATGGGTGAGACCTTTGCACCAGTGTCTCTGCACATCCTAAATTTTCCATCTCATGACAGCTAAGGAGTCATGGCCTGGTCTCGGCAGGAACAGGGGACACCCCCAGGCCTGGCTGACCTTGAGACCCCACTGTGTGTACCAGCAGGGAGGGAGGACGAGGGGGAGGAAGGATGGAGGAAGCCCATGTGGTCACACCCACAGGCTCTTACCTCATAGACAAAGACCTCAGGGTTGATGTAGTACAGGTTGACCATGCTGGGGAGGGTGATCCCCATGCCCAAGAGAGCTGCAGGAGGGGAAGGAGAAACCAAGTTCATTATGGGGGCGCCTCAGTGGAGCACCATGGGAGGCCCACGCCATGCTGAGCTCCTCGTGCGCATCATGACACGGAGTCCCACAGATGGCCGGGGGGTGGGAGCCATTATTACTGTACTCACTTTACAGAAGGGAAAACAGTCTTGGGGAGGGATAAGAACTGAAAAGCTAAGAGAGTGGGAACCCTCTTAACCTCGGAGCCCGGGCAGCGCGAAGGATGGCCGGCAGGGAGCCTGGAGCAGGTGTGGGTCAGGAGGGGACCGCGGGGGCCAACTGGCGCGGGGGGCAGGGCTCACCATTGAGGTGATCCAGCAGGGGCCTCTTGAACACGGTGTCCATGAGTGGGCGCATCTGATTTGGCTGCAGCCATGTAGTCAGGGAGCCAGGGGCCGTGGGCCCGCTCCAGCGAGGGGCCGGGAGAGATGGACAGGTGGGCCGCACGTAACACACAACAGACACAGACAGACACAGAGCAGAGGCGGGGGGGGGGGGGCAGGACACCCCAGTCAGCCGTCAGAGCATCTGGTCCCCAGAAACCGCCCCCTGAGAGGACCCTAGACGCACTCCTGGCTGACACTGTGTGGCCAACGGGTGGCTGACAGACTGCCTCATGCCAGGTGACCAGCTGCCCATCGGTGCTGAGCAGCGGGGGACCGACCGCTGGTGGGTAGGCTGGCGGGCCGTGTTGGCTGACAGGCCCGCCAATGGAGCATGGTGGCTAGGGACCCAGCTGCCTCACGGGGCCGAAGAAGCAGTCAGCGTCATCTGACACTGGCCTGCCAGCGATTCTCAGACCCACCAGTCCTCAGCCACCTGGCTGCGACACTTGGCGGACTGACCCCACTGAAGAACCAAGGCTGACTGACTGGCTGACTGACAGCCGGATGGTCCGAGGACAGATTGTCTGATGGGTAGGCCCTCCGCCTGGCCACCGTTCCCAGGCACCCTGGGTGGAAGCCCAATCACGGTGGCACGTACAGGTGCACTTGCGTGCAAGCACTGGGACTCAAGACCTGCCCCACCCTGTGAGGGGTCTCTAGAGACCCCAACCCCACACTCACATCAACGAAGCCCACATTGGAGGAGCGCACGGTGAGCTGGATATCCCTGAAAAAAACGAAGGAGGGCTAGGACTAGGCCTATATCCCCCTAGATCCCTCCTCCCACCATACCGCACGTGCTACAACCCAGCCTCCTCTGACTGACGCTGTAATGGGTGACATTGTGATAAAGTGACTGCAGGCCCATTGCACAGAGGAACACACTGAGGTGGCTGGATCCGGAAGTGTTCAGCAGGTTGTCCTTGCTTACCCCAGCACAGATGTGGTGCCCTGAAGCTTCACTTTGGACACAGAGAGCTGGAGGTCCAGGTTCACAACCTGGGCACAAAGAGAGAGCAAGGTCAAAGAGCACAGAACCACAGAGGAGGTTCCGGTGGCCACCAGCTTCCACCCACTCCCCGCCTGACTCAGGTGTTCGTGGAGCACCCATATGAACCAGACCCTGCACACAGCTCAGGGAACAAACACCAGGTCTCTGCCCTTAGGAACCCTCAGAGGCTGGGGGAGGAGGTGAACAATGGCCAAAGTAACCAGGGTCCTTAATAGCAGGTGCCAGGACAGCAGAGTGGCAGCAGGGAGAGGGCTGATGGGGACCATCTTTCTCAGGGTGGTCTAAGAAGACTGCCTGAGAAAGGCTGCAACATCTGAGCTGAGTCCTGAAAGATGAGGAGAAGCTAGCCGTGCTGAGGGCAAGGGGAAGAGTGTCCCAGGCACAGTGCCCAACAGCACGTGCAAAGGGCCTATGGCAGGAACGTCATGGCACAGTGAAGGAACAGCAGGGAGACCATCATGGATAGAGCAGAGCAACTGGGGAAAGGGAGGCAGGAAGTGAGATCTTGGGAGTTGCCACCCTCTCAGCCAGCCCCACCAGCCCACCTCACTCACCACATCAAAGGAGAAGAGGGACTGGAAAGCTGAGTTGGAGGTCACAGCCTGGACTTCCACAAAGGGCTGCAGCTGAAGCGTGGCATTGTTGGTACGAAGTGTGGCCACGGGCGTGGCACCCAGCCGCACCTTGAGAGTCACAGGCATGGGCTCGGGGAACCGGCGGGCCACCTGGGAGTGGAGAGGGAGAGAAGGAGGAGGGCACCTGGGGCAAAGGCTGGGTGGGCTCTCCACCATCGCTTCACACGCTCCTGATCAAGCCACTGTTCGTCCGTGACTGGGCCATAGAGGTGCAGCCACCCCAGGCCCCTGCCCTCGGGGATGCCCTGCCTGCAGGGGGTGGTAGGCATGAAGATGGGCACAGCCTGTGTGATTGGTGCCAGGAGGGATGGGCGCTAAGGGGCCATGGGAGTTCAAGGAGTCTCCTGGACCAGATGGGGGGTGAGGTCCTTCCCTAGGAGGCAACCCCCAAGCTTGGACTTGAAGATGCGCAAGAGAAAAGGAAGCAGAGAAGGCCCTCCAGGCAGAGGGCAGCAGCTGCACAAAGGCACAGGAGGGAGACAGCATAACATCTGGCAGAGAAGGGGCCACCCCTAACGTGGAAGAGGCGCAGAGGTCAGGACACATGCTGAAGCCCCCAGGGGACTGATAAGAGCCAGCAGAGGTCCCCCAGCCAGAGAACCTCCCACCTCGATCCCAGGTCTTGGTTCCTGAAATGATTAAAAATGTCACCAACCTCGGGGATGAGTTGGCCCAGCACAGAGGTGTTCAGCAGGTTGTCCTCAGACTTCTGAAATTAGCCCCCACGTCATGGCAGGTTTTAGGGCAGCCACTCCTCAAGCTAGACCACCTGTTGCCTCCCCACGACCGCCTTTGAACCTTTGCAACAGCCACCCTGTAGCCGCAAAACTTGGGCTGCCCCACCCACAATCTGGCCTCTGCGGGGCCTCCCCAGGCTGGGGCGCAGGGCATGCCTGTCCTACAGGCTCTGGGCGGCAGGTCCGAGCCTCACCAGCTGCCCTGTGATGTCCAGGTTGAGGGCACCAGCTTTCTGCAGCAGCAGGAGGACGGAGTCAAACAGGTCCTGGGAGAGGCCCACGGTTGCCATGGCACCATCAGCACCCACGTTAGGCGGCAGCACAAAGTGAGTGGCATCCACAGGCAGGACGATGGGCTTGCCCAGTAGGAAGAGAATGGCCTACGGGGTTGGTGGGTGGTGAGAGGAGAAAAGCAGGAGTGCCCCAGTAGGATGGTGGTTCCATCATAGAACCTGGGCTCTCAGATGCCACCTACTCCTACATGCCACATGTTGTCCAGCCTCACACCCTAAATGCCCTTCTGGCTCCTCTCCCTTCAACATCCCTGCTCTTTTAGGAATGTCCCAGGACCCCACAGACCTCAGAGGCAATAAGCCCCCAGCTCAGGGCTGACAAGGGAGCACTTACGCTGATATCCAAGGAAATGTAGTCCTTAGTGATGTTGGGCGCATTGGTCATGGAGTAGCGGATCTGGGACTCTGGACCCACAGGGTTGAGGCCTAACAAAAGCAGAAGAAAAAAGAAAACACGGCACACTTAGCCTTATCCACCATGCTTCATCTATTCAGAAAACTCAATCATCTGACGACTTCAGTTAGCCAGACCCAGGACAAGAAACAGAAAGGGGAAGAGAAAAGGCCTCTGAGTAAGTGAACCCCAGTTGCAAAACGCACACACCCAAGATTCAGCTACTCATGGCTTATTGACTCTCAGTTTAGACACAGTTCTGACAATTTGGGTTTCTGCCTTCCGAATTAATGGAAGACTAGAAACCCTAAGTTAGAAGGAAGGAGAAGGGTCACTCTAGGCACAAATAGCCCCTGAAAAAAGCAAGAGGGAACCACAGAAAAAGAATGGAGCTCACATTCATCCAGGTCCAGACATTTGACTTACACTGTCCCGTTCAATCATCACCACAAACCTATAAGATTAGGAACCCATTTTACACACACACATACATGTGCACAGTTTGATGAGTGCAGTTGTGCCCAGGATTGTATACCTGGCTTGTCCAGCTGTAAAGTCACGCTCTCTCTCCACCTCATCACACAGCCTCTTACAGAAACTCAAAAGGCAAGCGCCCCTGGAGCCATGCTGTGCAGGAGCACAGGACCCTCAGGGAGCCTCCAAGGAGGCACAGAGGAGAGTTCAGTTCCTATGTGGCAAGTTTCCCCAGAGCTCAGAATATTCTGATTGGGAAGGTTGCAAAGGGTGAGTCACATCTCTAAATGCAGCTAGGCTAGCCGGCACACCCGGGGAAGGCTCACCCCCACTGTCAGGAAAGCCCAGCTTTTAGCAATAGGTCTTCAAAAGCTCTGGATGACCAAGGGTGTGTGTGTGTACATGTGCATGTACACATGCACACATGTTAGATTTCTGTCTGATTTTCGAATGTCTCTTCTGGATTCAATTTTATTTCTTTGGGACACCTGGATGCCTCAGTGGCTGAGCATCTGCCTTTGGCTCAGGGTGTGATCCTGGAGACCCGGGATCAAGTCCCGCATTGGGCTCCCTGCATGGAGCCTACTTCTCCCTCTGCCTATGTCTCTGCCTCTCTCTCTGTGTCTCTCAAGAATAAATAAATAAAATCTAAAAAAATAAATAAAGTAATAATAATCATTTTATTTCCTCCAATGTTTTGGAAATCTCTTGCAATTGTAAAAGCGATATAGTATGATTCCAATTCTACAGCTCAGATCAAGGTGGCAGGAGGGGAGAAGCTCAGAGGGATTTGAGAAGCTGGAGAGATGTTCTGTATTTCGAGTTTGGTGGTGGTCACACAACTGTATACATTCATCAAAACTCAGAGGACAGCACACTAAAAAGAATAAATTACTATATTTTTAAGATGACTAAAAACATGAAAATTTTAAAATAATTCATATTCCCTGTGGACATATAGACATTTTTGAAAGATGAAAAAAATACATAGCTCAGAACCTCAAATGCATTTCTTTCTGAATTTTCTTCTGTAGAGACAAACAGCCCCCCATCTGTCCCTCCCTCAGCAAAGCTGTGGTGAAGCTCAGTAGCTTCGTGCCCTTCTCTATTGTCTTTACAGAGTGTCATTATAGCCTAGGTAAGGGCACAGCCCTCAAGGCAGACTGCCTCCATTTCTTCATCTGTAAAATGGAGCTAAGAATGCTACAGTAAATATTAGCTTTTTTTTTAAGATTTTTATTTATTTATTCATGAGAAACACAAAGAGAGAGGCAGAGACATAGGCAGAGGGAGAAGTAGGCCCCCTGTGGGGAGCCCAATGCGGGACTCAATCCCAGGATCCTGGGATCACCTGGGATCATGACACGAGCCAAAGGCAGATGCTCAACCACTGAGCCACCCAGACACCCCTATTAGCTTTTATTATACAGCATTTTGCCAGGCATGTTGCCAGGTGATTAAAATGCCCCTGTAAGCTGTGCATTTTAGTGGCTCCTGTCACCCTACACTGTAGGCACACATGACTCATGTAAACGGTCCCCTAGGCCTGAATGCTTAGATTTCCTTTACTAGATTTTTTTTAATTCCTCAAAGCAAAGGACAAGAGCCGGTCTTTGCTATGAACCCAATTCCAAGGCGTCTTGATGGAGAGAACCCCACTGAGGAAGAAGGGAGGGATGAATGTTGACTGAGCCTGTCATCCACCAGGCACTTAGCCTATGCTGTCTGCTAGCAGCATGGGGGAGAAGCAGGAATTCTGAGCCCCATTGTTTTGTCGGGTTTTGGGGGGGGATTGAAATATTTAGACTCAGAGAGATGGCGTGACTTCCCTAAGGTCACACAGCATTGGAGCAACAAAGCCAGAATTTAACTTCATGTTGTTTTATTCCAGGTTGCGTTTCCTTGCCTTCTTGGTGCCTTCTGTTAAGGTAATATGGGAGTTATGGTGAAGAGGGGGGTGGGTGTAATCCAGGAATGTTCCCTGAGGAACTGTGAGCTGGACCATGAAGTAGAGGCAGAGCAGTGGGTCACATTTAAGAGGAGAAAGCCAGCATGAGTCAGTTCATGACCTTCTGCACTGAACTGAACTGTAGTCAGTTCATGACCACACTACGGATTTGAGACTCAGAGCCTCCAATTCCTCATCTATAAACCGGGGATACTGATGCCACCTTGTAGGACTGTTGTTAAAAGTTTGCACAAGAAAGCCAAAGCTAGCTTGATATGAAGATCTTCACTAAAGAACCCACCACAGGGGGGTTTAGCCATCTGAGTGGCTCAGTCGGTTAAGTGTCTGCCTTGAACTCAGGTCAGGATCCCAGGGTCCAGGGATGGAGTCCTGCATCGGGCTCCCTGCTCTGTAGGGAGTCTGCTTCTCCCCCTCCCCCTGCTTGTGCTCTCTGTCAAGTAAATAAATAAAATCTTAAAAAAAAAAAAGAACCCACCACAGATAAACACGGACTCAACATGCCGCCCTGCCTCCTGTCCCGACACACCCACTCCCACACACCGACCCCACACCCTGTGACCATTAGATGTAAACCCCTAAGTCAGAGCAAGGCCAACCAATTGCAGAGTGTAGCTGACCACAGTCTACAGCTCGGGATTTTACAAAGCCAATGACGGTGACCTGAGGGAGGCCCTAGAATCCCAGGCAAAGCCACTAGATAGAAGAAGGTGCTTCACACAGGAGCATCTTCAAAACAGGTCTGTGGGAAAACAGAGGGAACCCTGGATTTTGCTCAGGGATCCCCGAGAACATATCACCCCCCAAATTAACAAAGGATACATTTTTGGCCAGTCTGGGGATAGGCAAGTTGTTATTAATGTTGATAAATACTACTGAAAACAGGGTGAGGCTGGCCGGCTTTCATAGCTTTTAGCTTCGTAGTGTAAGATGAAGTCCTGATGGAGCCTCGCAGAGGCCACCACCGTGGCCACGCTTCTGTGTGGACCGTGCACGGTGGCTGCGAGCCCTGGGCGCCCGCCTGCAGTGGTGGAGAAGGCGCAGCGGGCAGTGGGGCGGTGACCGGGAGTGGTGTATGGGGAGGACACAGGCACCTACTCCGCAGTCTCCAAGAGCCCCTGGGTGGCAGTGAGCCCCAGCTGCCCACAGCAGTGCCTGCTCAAGAGCACCCCTTCCTCCCCTGCGTTGCTGCCCCCTTCCCCACCAGCACCCTGGGGACTTACCCTAACATCTTAGGGTCTGCTTGTGGGGCGGTCAGCCTACGGGACTTTCTCCTAGTACACTCCTAGTACCCTGAGTATGAGGAGCCCCAGAAAAATCAGAGATGAACAAGCCTCTAAGGACAGAGGAGAGGGAGGCTTGCCTCCAGGTGGGTGAATGGCCCCAGAGAACGGAAGCAGGGGTGAGGGCACTTGTGAGCAGAAGTGCTTGAGTTCTGCTGAGGATGTGCTGAGTCAGAGCCCGTGAGACCTCCAGGAGGAGGTGTCCAGAGGCAATGGAATAGAATGGCCCGAGCCACAATGTGCCAGCGGGGAGAGTCCGCCAAAGAATGTGGGAGATGTGGGAGAAAAACCAGAGGAGGATGGGGTCTCTGAGTCTCCAGGCAGGGGAGGAGACAACCGCAGACTGAATGTACTCTGCCTCCCCCTCGCATACACGCATACACACTTGCACACTTGCACACACACACACTAAACATTCAAAGACTTGATTCTAGAATTTGGAGATTCCCTGAGTTCATCAGTACCTATTCAGTCATCCTATGATTGATCTCCCAGAGGTCAACCCTGACCGGAGGTTGATCTTTAAAGGGTCTTGGGGGCCCCAGTGGAGCTCAGAGGCCCCAGTCCCCTCCCCCTGGGCTCTCAGGTCTTACCAATTAAAGTGCCCAGGTGCACGTTGAGGCCCTGCACCAGGTTGGAGATGCTCAGGCATAGCTGCGGCAAAACAGAGGCGGAGGCTGGTGAAGAGGGTGCTGGGGCTGAAGGGGTGAGATCGTGAGACTCTAGGGTCCCAGTCTGGAAGCCTCCTCCAGCCTGCATGCCGCGGCCTGGAGTCCCACCCTTCCTCTACCGCCCAGTGGGCATCTTCTGACTCCTCTCCGGGTCACTGAGGATTCGGAGGAGAAGCTAGGGCCCATGGGCATCAAGGAAAGAACAGGAGAGGGCCAGCAGGGGTGGGGGTGGGGTAGGGATGGGCACTACATGTGGTGAAGGCAGGCGGTGGTCAGCGAGGAAGCCTGGAGTTCCCCTGGGTGCAGTGGGCAGCCCAAGAAGTGTATTAAGCTGGGGTCAGTGGGATCGAAGGTGGGGCAGAGGAGAGACCACAAGGCTAAGGGTAGTCAAAGCCTGGTCCAGGCGGAGCTGAGGAGGCTGGGCCGGTGGAGGGCCAGGTCAGGTTGTACTGCCTTCAGCCTCGGGCCTCAGTCTCCTCATCTGCAAGATGGAAATGCTGGGGCCCACCTCTGCTGGGTGGGACGGCATCGAGTGGGTTGATCTGGGGTTGTAGGGACCAGATCAGGAGATGGGGTGGAGTGTAAAAGGGCAGAGATGGAGAAGTGGCTCCCCCCTTGGCTGTGGGACCCTAGGCCCAGAGGAAACCATCTCTCACCAGGTCGGCCACAGGCTGCTAATGACAAGAGCTGAGATAGCAACAGCAATCACAGTGCCCACTCTGCCAAAACTGTTCTAAACTCCTTATGGATGTTAATGTGCTCAACCCCCACAAACAACTCCGAGAGAGGTTTACCCTCTGTACTACAGGTGTGGAGTTGGGGGCAGACGGAGGTTAGGTGATTCATACAAGTGCCACAGCTAGGAAGGAGAGGACCAGGATTGAAGCCAGTGCCCATGTTCTTGTCCACTTTCATTTTGTCTCTTTTTCATAAGCCACATGGCCCTTGAAAGCACTGCCTCCTCCCCACGCTCCAGCATGGACTGGGGCTGGCTCAAGAGCAACCCCCTGAGCCCACCCTTATTAGGCCTCTCCATTACTGCCCTGGACCATCACCCCAGGCTCCTCCTGCCTCGTGGGAGAATGGAGAAGCCCCATTAACAGTCTTCTATTAAAAAACAAACAAACAAACAAACAAACAAACAAAACAATAACAGGGGCACCTGGGTGGCTCAGTCAGTTAAGCATCTGCCTTTAGCTCAGGTCATGATCCCAGACTCCTGGGATCAAGCCCCGAGTCAGGCTCCCTGCTCAGCAGAGAGTCTGCTTCACCCTCTCACTCTGTCCCTCCCCCTGCTTGTGCTCTCTTTCTCAAATAAATAAATTAAATCTTTTTTTTTAAAAATTAAAAAGCAGTAAGAATCCCAATCTCTCCCACGCCCACAATACTCCTTTCATTCAGCATGTCTACTGAGGTTAGCAAGGCCCTCCTTCCTGGGAGACCTGGTAGGGGGTCCTGTACCTTGTTCCGCAGGACAGCTTTAATATGATTCTGCACCAGGACCAGCAGCCCAGGGGCCACGCTGAGAAAGAGAGAGAGAAAGCGCTCCTGAGCTCCGGCTCGTGCATTCGGGCCCGTTTCTCCTGCAGAGCCACTGTCTGAGAGAGAAGTGTCTCCTCTGAGCCGGGGGCCAGTGAGTCCCATTCCACCCCTTGCCGTGTGCCAGACACGGTGCCAGCACCATTGTCCCCACAGATGAGGAAACCGAGCCTCAAAGAAGATGTCACTGGTTTTGAGGTTTGGAAGTGGCCAAAACATGCTACTGAGGCCAGGCTTGGGGGAGACAGAGAAGACCCTGCAAAAGCCAAGACTCAGCCACATTGTTGGCCTGCTGGCTTCATGGTCACTCTGAACCCAGGAAGCTGGGGGTGGTTCCTGCTTGGGCTCCAATTCTCTGTGACACACCTAGTAAAGTTCCTTCCTCATTCTGTGCCTCAGTTTCCCCTCTGAACGATGGAAGATGGGTCTAAGTTGTTTCTCAGCAGGGATCCATAGGAAACCATGGTTCCTTTAAGTTGTTATTTAAATTTCAGTTAGTTAGCCTACAGTGTAATATTAGTTTCAGGTGTACAATATAGTGATTCAGCACTTCCATGCATCACCCAGTGCTCATCACGACAAGTGCACTCTTTAATCCCGTCACCCAGTTCAGCCATCCCCCACCCCTCCCCTCTGGTGACCCTCAGTTTTCTATAGTTAAGAGTCTGTTTCTTGGTTTGCCTCTCTCTCTCTCTCTCTTTTTTTTTTCCACTTGCTGATTTGTTTTTTAAAGTCCACATATGAGTGAAATCATAGGATATTTGTCTCTTTCTGAGTGACTTATTTCGTTTAGCATTGTACTCTCTAGCTCCATCCTGCAAATGGTAAGATTTCATTCTTTTTTATGGTTGAGTAATATTTGTGTGTGTGTGTGTGCATCACCTCTTCTTCATCTATTCATAAATGTTCATCCAAGTCGCAGCCCAAGCTCACTGAATTGCCTCTCAGGGGAGATAGGTGGATAGCAGCTGTGTTTTAATGCCATTAACTCCTGGGCTTTCCTTCCTGTGAGCAGCCGCGGCCCATGGGAATGGCGAGGAGTCATGTGTAACTCATGACGACTGCCGGACACAAGTGTGAATGGCTTTATGCCCGGTCCCCTCTGAGGGAAAAAGGCCAGTTCCAAATGCCCACCTAGCTCAAGTATGAGAAGGTAGACATAATGCAGGAGGCGAGTCAGGTTACCGGGGTTGAACCTCCCCCCCACCGTTTGTCAGCTGTGTCAGCTTAAGCAAGTCACTTAACTGTTCTGTGCCCCTTGGAAAATGGAGGGAATACTTACGCCTTCCCGGCTGGGCCGCTGTGATGTAGTAAAGGGCTTGGAGGCTGCCCTGCACACAGCAGGTGCTCTGGAGGTGGGAGCCGCCGGCAGCTTTGGAGGCAGCCCCGACTCACAGTGAGGTTGAAGGCTCCCAGCCCCCTGGACCTCAGGATCCCCGTCTCTGCAGCGGGGGACAGCCCTCCGAGGCCCAGGATAGCCACATCAGGCCTCCCTGAGTACAGTAGTAACGACTGGCACACGTCATCATGTGCTGCAGGGGGGCGGGATGCAGTAGAGGGACATGGCCTGGCTGCACATTCTCCCCTTCCCTGAATTTCAGTGTCCTCAGCCATAAAACGGGTGTCTCTTGGGCCCCTTGTGGCAACTGGGTGAAAGCTTGAGTGGGAAGCTCAAGAAGAGGCCCCAGAGCCTCGGTGGCGGACTCTGCAGCCCAGCCCTCGCCAGGCACTCACCTGGTACTGCCATCCAGCACCGCGGCACTGTTGAAGAGTGCGGAGCAGGCAGAGATGCTGACCACGGGGGTCCGGATGGAGCCCTGGGCCACCTGGGCGTCGGCCAGCAGTACCACGGGCAGCACCAGCTTCAGGGGCTCCGGGACTCTGCGCGACACCATTCCTGAGCCCCGGCGGCACCACCCAGCACAGCCTACCCTGCAAACCCCCAGCCTGAGCCTGCTCCCCACTGGGCACAGGCAGGACCCTCACTCAGCAGGAGATTCACCCCTGGGACAGGCTCAGGGCCCTCTAAACTCCACTTGGGCTCACAGACATTGCAGCAGATGGGTGTGAAGTCTGGATCCCAGCCCCCTCTCTCTGTGAGGCCCTGGGCCGGTCACTCCCCATACTAGGCCTCAGTATCCTCTTCTGTCAGATGGACATAAGAGTGACGGTACCTATCTCTGGAGGCTGTGCTGAGCTGTCTGTGAGGTAGCCGTGTGAAAATGCCCTGCGTGGAGTCTGCCCCCCACCCCTCCACCCCCACCCCCCTGTGAGCACTCACACAATGGTAGTGTCAGCACAGAGGAGTTCCAATAAGAGATCTCTCTGAGTGCCCAGCCAGTAGTTTGGAAATCAAACACATACAAAGTAGCTGATACATAGAAATAATTCCAACAGCTACATTTACTGAGCACCTACTCTGTGCCTTGTACTGTGCAAGGAGAGGTGTGATTTTAATTCCAGCAGTGGAGCTGTTCACTGCATCCCTCAAAGCCGTGCTGCAGAGTTTCATCCCATTTCACAGAGCGGGAGACTGAGGGCTGCAGGGGTGAACCGGCTGCCAGGTTACACAGCTGCGGAGCAGGACCCAGGTTCTCAAATTCTCACTGTCTCGCTCCCCCGCGGAAGGGTGGGAAAGAGCACTGGACAGGGAGTGGAAGACTCGAGCACAGGACCTGGCAATTGCTAGCCCCCCTCCCCTCACTCTGCCCCTCAGAGGTCCCTGAAAATCCTTCTGCCCACCGCTACCCCCGTCCTCCAGGAGAGCCACTCACCGAAAGACTTTGAAAGTAAAATTGGCTGCTACCAACATGCGCACCCCAAAATCGGCAATGAACTTCAGGTGGAAGTGGGGCACGTGGACATTCAAAATCTGGATCCTGCAGAGTGGGAATGGAGATGACGGGGGGGGGTCCCCATTAAACCCTGGAATCAACTCTGTGGTGGGTGTTATGAGCCATAGCCACACTACTGAGGTTATAAAGAACTTTCTGACTACTGGAACCATGGAATGAGGAAGGGGTGGAGAGTTCTCCACCCTAGGGGGCATGCAAGCCGTTGTTGGACAACTAGCTGGTAGGGAAAGGATGCCGAGAGGATTCCCATCCAGGGACAGGAATTGAGGGAGATGATTGTTCAGGACTTGGGGGAATTTTTAGTTTCTGACAGAGGTTGGGAAAGCTTGGAAGGTGGGATCCACAGAAGGTCAGAAATCCCCTCTGCAGCACTCTAGTCAACCGCTTTGGCTGGTAGCCCTTCAGGGACAGGAAACTCATTCCCTTCAAAGCTGCCTGTTCTGATTGCTAAGCACTTTTCTAACTTTTTCTTTTTTCCTGAATGAGTCATTTTTTCCCCTACACTGTATGTAGTTGGGGGTGGGAATTCAGACACTGGAAAATGATATGAATTTGAAAAGTTACATCAAAACTCCACCCTCAGGGCACCTGGATGGCTCAGTGGTTGAGTGTCTGCCTTTGGCTCAGGTCATGATCCCAAGGTCCTGGGATCGAGTCCCACATCGGGCTCCTGTGTCTCTGCCTCTCTCTGTCTGTGTCTCTGCCTCTCTCTGTCTGTGTCTCTCATGAATAAATAAATAAAATTTAAAAATAAAAACCTCCACTCCCCAGCACTCTCACTGTTGGCACTTAGTGGACTTCTTTCTGTGACTCTCTTCTGGGACACAGACTGACCTAGAATCTAATTCTTTTCTTTTCTTTCTTTTTTTAAATTTTATTTATTTCACACAGAGAGAGCAGGAGAGAGAGAGAGAGAACACAAGCAGGAGGAGCAGCAGCAGAGGCAGAGGGAGAAGCAGACTCCCCACTGAGCAGGGAGCTCAGACATTGGGCTCGATCCCAGGACCCTAGGGATCATGACTTGAGCTGAAGGCAGACGCCTCACCGACTGAGCCCCCCAGGCGCCCCGAAACTGCTCCTTTTCACTCGACAAGCACCCTGGATGTCTTCCCACTTCGGCAAACAAGGACACTCGGTGCTGTTGGCAAACAGCCACGCGTGGCCGACCACAGAACACTGAGGAATCCTGACTGTTGGGTGTGTCAGTGCCCTTCCCGGTCCACCCTACACCAGCCCTTCCCTATGGGCCTCGAAATGGGGCCCTCCACACCAGCTACTGGTTTGTCCATCCAGTGTTTTAAAGTTTTCAATGTTTTTTAAGTAGTTGCCATCATTCAAAATTTGATAGATTTTAAATATATATATGAGTTCTCTTGGGGAGCCAGAGATCGGGCAATAGTGAGTCTGTTCCCGCGTGGTTGGGGACAACTGGCCCGGCCCCCGGATCTGAGTTTGAGATGGCCTCCATCTCTCTGCCTTTGAGTCACGATTCATCACAGGGGTGTGGGGGTACATAGGCTCAGACTTGTGTCTAAATTCAGTGTCTCATTTTTGGGGAAAGTAGCCAAGGGTCCTGCCAGCCCTGGGGACCCAGAAGCAGCAGTCTTGGCCCCTAAGGGCAGAAATCTAGGAATTCGGAGGCACCAGCGGGCCGTATCTCCACCTCCATCTCACCCCCTCAATCATCTTGGGACAGCTCACTTATGAGTGAAGTGAGGTGAGGACAGCACTCATCTAGCTGGTGGGGAGCACTCACCTATACGCGGGGTTCACCTACCACTCATTGAGTGGGCTGAAGCATTTTTCCCAGTAGGTGGGAGCACACACCTGGTGGGCTGATGCACCTCTTCATTCCAATCCAAGAAATACGGGACTGTGACCCGCAGGGCCTGCTGGAGAGGGGCTGTCCCGATTTCCGACACTGCGGGGCCAGAGCAGGGTGATGTCAGGCTGCCCTTGGAGCCACCAAGCAAGACCACACCACCACCACCCTCCACCCCTCGGGTTGAGCAGAGAGGACTCAGAGGCGGGCGGGGTCGCACTTGCCCACCGGCGGGCGGGGGGGGGGGGGGGAGGGGGGGGAGGGGCGGGGCTTGCAGCTGGGTCCCCCTGAGCCTGCCCTGGGTTCCACCCTCACACCAGGCCCTGCAAGGCATGCCTTTCCTCTCTTGCTTCTGCCTTTCCAGATCTTGTCTGCCTCAGTCCTCAAAAACAAGAACATCCTTTTTGCCCTTTGATCAGATCAGATCCCATCTCTTCTGGAGCCTTTTCCAAGTCTCCAAGCCAAAGGAGAATTTCCCAGTAGAGCGGGACAGAAGGTGGGGTGCTATTCCGGGGACTGGAGGCTGAGGATTCTTGAGTCCCTCAGATTCTGGATACAAATCCCTAGGTCTGCTATTCACTATCGATGTGGCTGTTCTGTGCCTCAGTTTCCCCCTCTGTAAACTTGCAATGATTATAATGGTACCTTCACATAGTGTCCCAGTAAAGCCTCAGGGCACAGGAAATGTTAGCTCTTACTGTTGCCATTTATTTGTGTAATGATCATGGCTGTCACTTCTCTGGCGCTCCCTTTGTGCCAAGCACTGTTCTGAGTGACGCAGGTGCTACACTGTGCCAGGTTTACCGAGAAGCGAAGACCTCTGGCAAGGGGAAGTTGGATCAGCTGAGGCACCTGGCTCCCAAGCCCCTGACTTCTCACACACCTGGGCTGCCAGGCAAGGGAGGTGCTAGTTAAACAATTCAACATGAGTGGAACGAAGATGAGAGGTCGCGGTGCTGGAAGGGAGCAAGGCCCCTGCCGAAGAGTCGAGAGGCCCAAACTTCACACAGACTCACTGTGGGGACTGCACCACTCACTCTGGGCTTTCGTTTCCTCAGACCTGGAGTAGGGAGCCAGTGGTCCATGTGTTCTCGATACCCCTCTCCAGCCCGGCCCTCTGAGTCTGTGGCTAAGCCAAGACTCACACCCAGGCCCCTGGACTCCATCCACAGTGCTCCCCCAACACAGGGCTTAAACTTTGGGGCTTGTGAGATGGGATTAGGAAAACACTATTAGAAAGCCACCCAGCCTGACCCTAGAAAGAGGTGTGTGCAGCCTGGACCTCCCGCTGAATGTCCCCCAAGAACGTAGGCAGGTGCACCTGGGATGGCTCTCTGGGGACAAAGGAGCCTCACACAGGACAGGTAGAGGGAGGATGGTCAGCAGAAGGCAGCAGACCTCATGTCCCAGCCTGTAGCTTCCGTGCATGGCTCCAGGTGCCAGGCACAGACTAACACGGGTCACTGACCCCTTTCACTGCCTGCCTATCTGCCCGGATGCAAGGTCCTGGAAGCCTGTGTGTGCACCATGGGGACACTGCTGCCTCAGTGCTTCTACTGTCTGAATTGAGTGCCTGACACTATAATCTGACTTTGTTCTTGTCTTGAGGGAAATGACTTCTGATTTCTCGCCCCTGACCCAGCTTTGATGGGACTGTGGAGGCCTCTGGGGAGAAGCTTTTGTCCCTCCCTTGGTCTAGTTTTCTCACTATGCCTTTCTCAGGGGATGGGGCAGGTCTTAGAAGGGTGGGACAATGTCATAGGATAGACACCTTGCCCGAGGGGCCCAGAGCAGGGCTGGTCTTCTCACTGTGAACCCCACAGAGATATAGCTCCAGGACGCTCCCTCCAATACTGTGCCAGACATGCCTTCCCCCAGCATGCCTGTGCACACACCCCCACCCTGTGCACATGCATGTACACCCAGGGTATGCAGCCACCCCTGCATACACACACCCAGGCACATACCATGACACCTGTATGCATGGCCGTGGTTAGAGATCCTCCCCGACACTCAAGTACACACACAGTCACATCTCCATGAATTTTCAGACTTACACACAGACACACACAAGCAAAAGTAGTCACTCAAACCAACCCGTGCCCTCACCCTGGGGGCACTGAAAGCACAATCATGCATGCCTGTGTGCATGTTAGATTTGACCACATTCCTACTCGTGCATTCACTCCATAAGTGTTTGCTGAGCAGCACTTTGTCAGATATTGTCTGGGAACTGGGGACACGGTGGCACATGAGATAAAAATCCAGGTCCTCATGAGGCTTTTGAGTTCACAGCCACACACAGACACACAGACACACATATGCACACACATGGGACCGTGCACATGCACGTGTGCAGACACGCACAGGATAGGCCAGCAGCACATCTCTTACCGTAGCTCAGCACGGCCTCGTTGAGTCTGACCACGGTGCCCGGCATCAAGGCGCCGACCATAGGCAGCAGCAGCGCTAGCAGCAAACCCAGCCTGTATGCCTGAGCCATGGCCATCCTGGCCACTGCCCCCCAGGATCTGTGGGCTGGGGTGGGGACAGGCATCAGAGAGCTTGTCCAGAGCATGCCCCTTCTGGCCTGCTTGAACCCCACCCAGCCTAGAGGTAGCAAGCCCTGCGTGGTAATCCCAGCCCTACCCGAGACCCCCATACATCAGTTCTACCTGTCTGCATTGGGAAGAATCGCCTGCCCAGCCTGCTTCCTCAGGAACCACAGGGAGATTTGGCCTGGAGGTGGGCCCCCAAACCCAGAGAAGACATAACCTTGCCTAAGGCCACACAGCAAACTGGGGTTAACCGTAGGACCCAAGCCATGCCAGAGGAAGGGGATGAGGTTCATGGGTAGGGAGACAGAGCAGCTTCCTGCCCCAAGGGCAAAGCCCAGGCCCACCACTCCAAGGTCCAGGGCTGTGTTTCCTGGTGCCAGGAGTCTAGCCCAGTGTGACAGCCCATCCTAGTGTCCCAGCTCTATGAACGCATCCAGGGAAGGACCCAGGGTGGCTCCTATCCTCATCTCATCCTGTACCAAGTACATTTAAAGCAGGTCTTTGCATGGCCCCCTAACCCCTCCCAACCCAGCCCAGACAAGTGGACGGATCTGTGTCTAACTCAGGAGTGAGAGGCCACTGCTGAGATGGGCTAATGGAGGCCCAGAGAAGTGGCACTTGCCCAAATTCCCAAAACAAGACTGGGGATGGACCCTTCCATAGAAGGCCATTGGAAGTAGTACTCCTGTTGAACAGATAGGGAAGTTGAGGCTCCTCCCTGGAGGAATGCCAGCCCTATCCCCATTCCTACCTGGGGTGGTTTCCTGGGACAACTGGATTCTCAGCCCTGGCCAAGGCCTCCTGAGTCCCTTGGCAGGTGCGGAAGCTGTTTTATGAGGCTCCCGGGTGTGCAGGACCCACTGCGAAGGGACCCAGGGAGGGGCAGGTTTGCTTGCAGTGATGTGTTTTCCCTGCAAACATGGCCTTTGCCAAAATGTTTCATCCTATGTGTGTGGTGGGGCTGCCACGTAACCAGGCTGCTGCCAACTGCTACAAGACCCTGGGGATGGGCTGCTCTGGGGCCTCTTAGGCCAGGAGATCTCTGGAAAGAGGACTGCTCTTAGGAGGGCCCCCTCGTCGTCCCAGCCAGGCCTGGCCAGGCCCAGGAGGATGTGGATGCCCCAGGTAAGGGGGAGGACTCACTAACCTCTTGGGCCTAGTGCGTCCAAGCTCTCTCAACAACATGACCCTTTTAGGAGGAGCCGGAGGCTCCCTGAGCCCTAGCCCCAGTCACTGACTCAGCTCTGCTCCTGGACACACATCGGACCCCGACTCAAAGGACAAGAGAGGAGAGGGTGTGTGGATGACCCAGTCCCTGCTACTTAACACCACCGGCTCCCTCCAAATGCGTATTGCACTCACAAGGGACGCAGCCCATAGTCTCTTTCTGCATTAGCAGCTGCAGGCTCCCCTCAGCTACCTGGGGCCCAAGGAGCTGTGTGTGCACAAGAGAAGTTTGTATATATGTGTGTATGAGGGGTATGTGGTTGTGAGTGTGTAGTCATGCATACACGTGTCCACTAGGTAATAATTACTAGCATCAGAGGAAAGTGTGTGTGTGTGAGTGTGTACATGGAATGGGCATGATGGGCACGTTGGCAGCACCGTTTATGATGTGACCTGCCTGTGTACATGAACCTGCATGAGTGCAGGTGTGGGAGTTTTGGGTACGGTATGTATGTGTGGGCTTGGTACCCTGAGTGTGTCTGCGTGTATGGTGTTAGGTGCGTGTGTGTATGTGTATAGGTGAATAGTTGACTGCTTCCTGGCATGGGGGAGGTGTGTATGTGTTCGCGCATATAATGTGCATGGAAATTGATAGCATAACTGCAGGGAAAGCCTGTCTGTCCCTCTGCATGGCTCAGCTAGAGTATAGGCACAAAGGGACCTGGGGCCTTCCCCCACTCCAACACCCTTCATGGCTCCCACCAACTCCACACCAGTCCAAATATCAGGCCCAGAGCCCAAGCCCACCCTGTACTGGATCACCACTAGTGCCCACAGAACTGATAGGGACCACAGACACCAGCAAGCCCTCCCCTGAGAGTGCAGAGTTCCCCTGCCCTACTCAAATGCCAGTTGCAAGGTCCCTAACATCCTACGTACGGCCTCCTGGCGCTCACCGTAGCCAGGGCAAACAGCAGACTCAGTAGAAAGGGTCACAAATATTGACCAAAGCCACTCTCAGTGTTTGCTCTTGGCATGAACACTTCCTCTTCCTCGACATACCCAGTGCGGGGGAGATCGAGTGACAACCAGTGGACACAATGGTGGGAGATTCTCACAGGCCCCGTCTCCCTGCCTCAACGGCAGGCAGGGTTGGGTGAGCAGCTGCTATATGCAAGGCCCTCTGCCCTCATGCCCAGGGGTCTGCTTACCTCTGTAGCCAGTGCCTGGAACATACCAGGTGCTCAATAAACATTTGTTGAATGAATGAATCAATGAATGGACAAGTGAAAGACCCTTGTAACAATTCCAGTGACAGCATTTCAGGGCTTCTCCTTCGCTGAATATTCTCAAGGGGACTGTATTAGTTTTCTATTGCTGCTATAACAAATTACTACAAATGTAGTGACTTAAAAACACAAATGTATTTCTGGAAGTCAGTAGTCCAAAATGGATGTTGCTTGGCTGAAATCAAGGTGTTGGCAGGGCTTTGATCCTTTCTGATCCTTTCTAGAAACTCTAGGGGAGGATTCGTTTCCCTGTTTTTTTCTGGTTTCCAGAGGCTACTTTCACTGCATGCCTTAGGGCCTCTTTGCCTTCCAACCAGCAAGTCGGGCCGAAGGCTCTTCCTGCTGCCACCTGTGTGTCCCTTCCACCTCCCTCCTCCATCTACAGGACCCTGTTGACACAAGGCCTGCCTGGATAGACTGCGATACTCTTCTATCTCAAGGTCAGCTGATCAGCAACCTTCATCCCAACTGCAGGCTTCAAGTCACCTTTGTTCTGTAACCTAACACGGTCACACGTTCAGGTTTCGGCGTGCAGGCCTAATTGAGCGGCGCTCTTCTGCTTACCACCCAACTCAGCCTACAATTTGATCAACAATTTGCCTCCAAGGGGCAAAACGAGTTATTTTCGCTTCACAGTCCACTTAAATTCTCCACAGGCAGGGCTGTCAGAGAAAAAGCGTAGTCAGACATTTCCGCTCTGTTATGCTTTTATTTATGCAGAACTTTATTAAAACAACAACATATACATTATTTTGTGTTATACGAAACATCCACCAGCAAGAGGACCTGGGTTATAAAATGTCCTCACATACGGCCTAAGCAGGTGGCAAGTCTAGAAAGCCTGGAGCAGCAAAGGGTCTGGGGGCAAGAGAAAGCATGGCCTGGGTATTGGAGCCTCAGCTCTCCCCTCTGCCTGGGCCCTGAGAGCCTGGCACCGCCCTCCCTGTCTTGGGGCCTCAATTTCCTTATCTTAAAAGTGGGAAGTGGGTCAGAATGGGTTCATCCAAGGGGGCAGTTGCAGGGCCAGGCTGGAGACTGGACAGAGACCCCCGCCCTCTCCCTGCTCTGTGAGGTCACAGTGCCCACAGCTCCACTGGACCTGGCTAGAGCCTGCATGCCACCTTCCAGGGAATGCTAGAAGGTGGCAGGGGTGGCAGCTGCTTCCCCCTTGCCAACTCTCAGAGAGCCCCAGCACCATTCCCCCTAGATTTCCTAGAGAAAAAAAATTGATGCCACGGTCCTCGAGGAGCCCCGTGGACCAGTGTGACCTGCCTGAGGATGCCAGGCCCAGGAGGTGAGGACGGAGGCCCCTCCCTCTACGTGCTTCTTTGCACTTTACCAAACGCCGGCCCTCGGTCCTCTCTGGAGGCCAGCAGGCGTGACCGACTGCACTTCACCGAGGCAGCCCCTGACGTCAGGGGGTTTGACAGTGGCTTTCCTAAAATCCCCCAGCCACGGACAGGGGGGGCAGTCATCCTTTCAGCACGTGTTTATTGAGCACCTACTGTGTGCAGGCACTGGCGGGGCCCCAGGGACACAGGTCACACCAGGGCTGATGTGTCCCCTGCCCCTGTGGAGGTCACAGCTTAGTGAGGGAGACAGACGGGAAGTGAGGAAACACGGCCCTCTGTCATCCACGTGCCTACCTCTGGGCCCCCCAAAACAGGGTGTACATCCCAAGAGGGTACACAGAACAATCTCCTGGGGTGAGGGGAGAAATTATTGGAACTTTAGTGAATATATTTTTAGCTCATCCTCTTTTAATTTCTATTACTCAGGGTGTATAAATAAGTTCACACATTTGAAAGAGTAAACAATATACTAGCACACGTGGCGATATATATCCCATACCATATATGTGATATTATATATATATAATTTCTTAATAAGTAAACGTAAATACATTGGGGGGTATAATAATAAATGTTTGGACACCGTTATCTTAAGAAAGAAAGAAAATTGGTTATCTCATGTACCCAGAGGTCCCAAGAGGTGGGTGGCGCCTGAGCACATCAATTCCACCTTCCCTAAGATCCAGGTCCCAGCCGTCTCTTGGCTCCTCCTGTTGGCCTCCTCGCTGTCACAGAGGCTACCACAGCTCCAGGGGCACGGAGCGGCATGGCTGTATAGGTGCAGGAAGAGTGGCCATTGCTTTGCAGGTCTCATGTTAGTGAAGAGAAAGCCTTTTCTGCAAGGGCCAGACCCCTATACCCAGTCCACCCGCAGCCCGCACCCGGCACCCTTGTGGACCCCCTCCTCCCCGCCCCCACCCAGCCGACCACAGCAAAGGCACTGGGAGTACTGGAGCAGGCTTAGAGCAATCAGGATTATCCAAAATCACATGGGGTAGGAGGAGACAGAGGGAGCAAAATCAGCCTCCTGCCAGCGAGGGGAGGGATCAGCTTTGGGGCGATCACCACCAGTGACTGTCACAGCAAACGGAGTCCTTTCCTCAAAAGAGACTTGGGTTTGGGGGCAGTCAGACATGG